TATGATATTAAATACATCTGCTAAAAATACCTATGAATCTTAATATGAAAACAAATAAAATGCACATATTTTATACAATTTTATTATATTAATTGTATTATATTTCGTGCAATTTTATGCAAAGGTTATTTATGTCTGAACAAGATAATACTATTCGTAATTAAAATTGATTATCCATTTCAAGCGACACAATAAGTATAAAGTTCTATTAAAAACCGTTAAACTTGCGAGTTAATGTTTATAAACATTTATAAAAATCTACATCATACGCAAAATTAAAATTATGTAAGAATCCTGTATAGCGATCCGCGTATTACTTAGCGCGCTTATTTGTTTTGTTCCGTACTTATTACATATTATTCCGTACTTTAGCTTTCTAGCGAGTCAAGAAATTTTCGCGTCGATATCACCCGACGGAGACTCGTTCAAGTTAGCTGAAAACAGCGGATTGGCCAGACTTCGTCTCGAGCGCGTTGCAGGAATACCGATGCGGCAAAATGGACCGGTCTGTACCCGCGCACAACACCCCGGGAACGTATACAGTACGTGCACCTTCCACGAGAGACGCGGTCGCATAAACTCGACCGTATCGCACCGACAACCATACGAAATTCGCAGCTTGCGTCGCTTGTCCGACCCTGTTTTGTCAGCGGAAGAGATTCCGTTGCACGAAATAAACGCTCGTTGTCTCGCTTCCGCTCTTGCTATCTCCCGTTTTCTTCCCTCTCTCTCTCTCTCTCGCCTATACAGTGGTTGGGTCCGCGTAATTATAACTTCGGTAGAATCCACGACGACAACACTGTCGAACGTATTCTCGTTCTCGAGCTATTCACCCGTTTCGTAGGTGTGCTCGTGCACCGTGTCAGTCTAATTATTTCGTTTTCCGTTGAGCCTAAGACCGGGACGAGAGACGACGAGGACGGAAAAGTGCGGATGGGGATGGAGGATCCCGAGGGCACTTTCTTGGAGCTCTTTTAACGGTCGCTTTAATGCGCCTACGAGCCCCTCTCAACCGCGAATCGTTTTAAGTTGTCCAACTTTTGTTTTCACCTCTTTTGATCGCGATACCGATTTCTCCTCGATTCCAGAATTACTTGTTTGCGCTTGCCAATATTAAATTAGAGACGTATCAATTTCGAATGCGAAAACATTTTGATATTCGAGCACATGTCGCAAAAAATTGACGAAACTCTATTTTTTGTGTAAAAAGAAATAATACGCAGAATTAAACTGTCACAGATAAAAATTTTCAACTGCAATTTTGCAATACAAATATAAATCAGATTATCCGACATCTAAAACTGTCTTATATTTCTTTGGAAAAGATCTTTTAATTTTTTTTTGTATATTTTCCTTTATATATATTTTTCTCTCCTTTTTTTCTTTACTTTTAATATTTTATCTAGACAAAATTATCGGAAATAATATTTATAAATTTCTTAGCTTTCGATCAACATAATCTATCATAATCTGAATAAAGCTATGCGAAAAACTACGATCTTGTAATGAGAATCAAATAACTGCGATCGTGAAAGTAACGAAGAGATGGAAACGGAAATGAATAGAAAAAAGGGCAAAGAACCGTGGCTGCACACCGCGATTCATTTAACCCCTCCGCTCATTTAAGTAGTTAATTCGTCCAAATCGCTCGTCGCTTTATACGCGTTTGCGAATTTCACGCAAAGGGAATCCGTGAGCGCTGAAATTACAGCCGGAATAAACCGTGAATTATTTAGGGCCTCGAATATACGATCGAACCATATCAAGTGGGATGATGAAACACATTCGAATGTTCGAAGACCGCTCCATCCACACTGTTAAAATATTGTCCATAACTTGGATTCATTAAGTTTACTTTGATTAAAAAAAGAATATTAAAAGAATATATAGAGAGACTAATTAAAGTTTACCGATACGACTTCTTGTGTGTTATTACAATGCCTTTAGAAAATTAATCATTTACGTCAATCTTTTTTGATGGAACTTATGGAGAAACTTATGGTACTCATTGCAATTGCAGGTCGACCAGGCACGGATTATCCGGTGCTGGGGAAGGTGCCCTACCCGAATTTCTACTGCGACGACCAG